AACCATAATAAACAATCATAAGAATCCAAAACGCTCTGCACATCAGTATATTACAGCTGTGATAGTATTTTTCTGGTTTCAGGTGTGGATGGACGCAGGCACGCAGATCTTTTTCTCGTATGCCATCTGTTTAGGTTGCCTCACCGCGCTCGGAAGCTACAATAAATACAACAACAACTGCTACAGGTGAGAAAATGGTCAAAAAACATAATTGTCATACTATGAAATGTGCCTTTACTCCCTGGGTGACGCTGTGTGTGTGTGTGTGTGTGTGTGTGTGTGAGAGAGAGAGAGTGTTTGTGTGTGTGTGTGTGTGAGAGAGAGAGAGTGTTTGTGTGTGTGTGTGTGTGAGAGAGAGAGAGAGTGTGTGTGTGTGTGTGTGCACTTGGATAGGATAAATGCAGAGCACAAATTCAGAGTACCATACTTGGCCGCACGTCACTCACTTTCTCACTTTCACTTTCTCTTGAGGAATTAATTATGTATATTTGATTTAGGAATGGGAATCTTTCAGAATTCTGGTTCCTTAATGGCTCAATTATGAATCTTTTAGTGCTTTAAGGAATAAATATTTGGAAAAATCAAATGCATTTCCACTGGCAAATAGTGAGATTATTTTTGAATAATTATCTCTTATTTATCTTATTTACTACAATAATAAGTCAATTTAAAATAGTTTTTTAAAGTCTTTTAGAGGTGGCATAAATGCAATTCAATAGTCCTTAAAGGTACAGTTCACCCAAAAATGAAAAATTATTTACTCACCCTCAAGCCATCCTAGGTGTGTATGACTTTCTTCTTTCAGAAGAATACAATTGGAGTTATATTTAAAAACGTCCTGGCTCTTCCAAGCTTTATAATGGCAGTGAATGGGTGTTATTTTTCAGTAGTCCAAAAGAAGTCCAATAAAGTGCATCCATCCATCATAAAAAGTGTCCCACATGGCAAGGCCTCCTGAAGTGAATCGATGCATTTTTGTAAGAAACATATCCACATTTAAAACTTTATAAACAGTAATCTCTAGCTTAATTTTCTTTTTTTTTTTGTGAACTATCCCTTTAACAATTGATAGCATATTTCATACATTCATTAATATTTTTAAGATACCGCAGAAATAATTTGTAAATAACGTGTATCTTTAAACTATGTGTTTGATTCACTAAAAAGATTTGACTCGTTAGAATCATTTGGTCTTGAGTTTGATCTTTTTTTCTTCACAAGTCGCACGTCAGACCGTGTGTTACGACCAAATGAAGGAAGGAAACTTGTTGTTCTCATTGTTTCTTGTTGCTCCTCTGAATTTCATTCTGTTGCCACATGCCATTGTTTTATCTTAGACTAAACAGCTGAGATTCTCATTTTCCAGCCAGCAAGTACATAAAGTCCTAAACTTGAGAAATCTGGGATTCATCAGGACCATGTGCTTTCACCCTTTGAAATCCAATCACTTTAAATTGCTTTAATCTTGGCAGGCACTGTTTCACAACATAAGCTTTGTCTTCGTGTCTGTCTGTTTTTAGGGATTCTTTGGCCCTGTGTTTCTTGAACAGCGGAACCAGTTTTGTCGCTGGTTTTGCCATCTTCTCGATTCTCGGCTTCATGTCTTACGAACAGAACGTCCCAATTTCAGAAGTGGCCGAGTCTGGTGAGTGCAGCTTTACCAATCACTGAATTAACCGAAATATATAAAAAAAAAAATATATATATATATATATGTGTGTGTGTGTGTGTGTGTGTGTGTGCATGTTAATTATATATGTTTTTTTAAATAATGTAATTATATTAATTATAAAAAGCAATTTGTATATAAAAAATTTAAGCCAATGCAAAATTGCATAAAATATGTAATATTTTACATAAAATATATATATTATATAAAATTTTATAACATATCATATAAATTATTAAATTATGTGTTTATGTATATATATATATATATACACACATAAACACAATTTATGTAATATTGTAATAAAATGAATTAAATAAATTGATAATTTTATTACATTTTATATGAAATTTATATTAATGTTAAATTATAAATTAAATTATATTTTATGTTGATATTGATACTATATTTATATGAAATTTATATAACATTTGTGTAAAACTAATATTATTGGAATACATTTTAAAACTAAATATTATTTGAGTCTTTCTACTTCCAAATGTCATGTTTCATTCAATGTGTTGCTTGCTGTTTCTTTGTGATTGTTTGTGAAATTTACTAGCAACGTTTCGACACCATTTTTTTTTTGTAGTAAACCATAAAATTTTCCAGTCGGGTATTTTTAGATAATTGACCTTTAGCTCACAAACACACTGTAATCTCTGTCCCAGTGCACACATTTGTCTGGGGTCAAGTTTGTTTGTAAATGATCTTTTTTCTTTTTCTTTTAATATGTCAAGGTCTGTTTAATCAGTTTTGTTCTCTAAATGTCAGAGGGTTCATTTTTCTTTTTTGTGCTCCATATGATCAATATTTATCTTCAACCGAACAAATAACATATTAAAGAGAATCTGTAATAAATTATTGCACACATTTTCTAGTTGCTATACTAAGGTTGCTCTTGTTTTTCTGCATGGCCTCTCTCAGGTCCTGGTTTGGCGTTCATTGCATATCCGCGGGCAGTGTCGATGATGCCCATCTCTCCGCTGTGGGCCTGTTTCTTCTTCATCATGATTGTTCTGCTGGGGTTGGACAGTCAGGTATCTGTCTTCTTCACAGTCTGCTTCACGGTTCACACATGCATTTCCAGTGCCCTATGATTTCCATCATGTAGAAAATGCGGATGGAATCGTGGAATCTAGTTTTTACTGTATAACATCGAATGGCACAGAATTTGGCAAAGACATCATGACAGAAATGTACTTCTCAATGTACTAATAGTAATAATAAAACAATATCACATTTATTTTATTTACAACAGTAAACCTCTGTTGTGCAGCACTCTGTTTACCAATATATATACAGTACATTTATATTTAAATACATTTTAAACGATGAATTAAATTGTTGATGTTTTATGCATTCATTTCAGTATAAATATAATATTTTTTTTTTTATAATTTATTAATTTATTTGATAATACATTTTTATTAAATCACATATCCAGAAAAATTTTAACAGATAACACTGAATTTCCGAAAGAAATGTTATTAAATTATTAGTGTTAAAGCATTCAATTGATTAGACATGCTTTTTTTTATTACTAAAATGTAATTAAACCATTGAAATGGAATGAGGATCAATAAAAACAGAAACAGATTTAATAGGGCTCTAAATTTTAATAAAATGTTGTTAATTGTATAGGTTTTATGATTTAAATTAGATGTTTTTTTATTGCTAAAATCATATTTAACCATTAAAACAAATCCTGAACAATTAAAATGCAAAAAAAACGGAATTCATAGGGCTCTACATTTCAACATTTTATTTTGTGCATAATCCTGAATCATGACTTGAAAATGTTTGCATGCCGTGTAATATTAAGCCCAAACTGTCATATGTGTCCCTGCAGCACAAAAGCAGTGTTAAGTCGCTGGGGGATATTTGTAGCAATAGCCAACAATACATTGTATGGGTCACAATTATACATTTCTCTTTTATGCCAAAAATCATTAGGATATTAAGTAAAGATCATGTTCCATGAAGATATTTAGTAAATCTCCTACCGTAAATATATCAAAACTTAATGTTTGATTAGTAATATGCATTGCTAAGAACTTCATTTGAACAACTTTAAAGATGATTTTCTCAATATTTAGATTTTTTTGCACCCTCAGATTCCAGATTTCCAAATATTGCCAAATATTGTCCTGTCCTAACAAACCATACATCAATGGAAGGCTTATTTATTCAGCTTTCAGATGATGTATAAATCTCAATCTTGAGAAATTGACCCTTATGACTGGTTTTGTGCTCCAGGGTCACAAATAATGAATCTATGGCTAGTAAAAATCACTAAGGCACCAGAAACACAGAGTTTAGAGGCGTTATGCTCATCTGATTGATGCACAATGGCGCTGACGCTGATGGCTGCCTCCGTGGCGTGCTCTGCAGTTGTTTTATGTTTTTGTTAGTTTGTCCTGTCTGTAGTTATATCCCTGCAAATCAGTTTCACCAGAGACGATTGCTGGACATTCGGAAGTACACACCAACCGATATTTCACCGGTTTTCGACTATTCGGATGTTTTGCTGGACATTGTTGTCGGGGGAGCAGCTGCGCTGATTAGGCGCTTCAGGACGCGCAGACGGGGGAAGCGAGCCGGCGCGCTCGTGAAGCTCAGACAGCGCGGATTCAGGACGCTGTTACCTAGCATCCATCTGGCGAACCTCCGCTCTCTACCCAACAAAACGGACAAACTCCTTCTGCTCTCCCGGACAAATAAGGATTTTTCTTACTCTGCTGCTCTGTGTTTCACGGAAACCTGTCTGAAAGACGCCATTCCGGACAGCGCGTTGAGTCTCCCGGGCTTTCAGCTGTTCAGAGCGGACCGCGACGCAGAATCAACGGGGAAATCACGCGGCGGAGGGACATGCTTTTACATCAATGAGAGGTGGTGTACAGATCAGATCTAGTTCATTAATTGCAAGCCGTTCTATTCGCCGCGGGAGTTTTGTTCGTTCATTCTCGTCAGTGTGTACATCCGTACATCCCCACACGTGAGCTCAGCTTTACAGAAACTCGCTGATCAGACACAGAACAACAACACCCGGACCCGGGTTTTAATCATTCTCAGGGACTTTAATAAAGCCAGTCTCTCCCGTGAACTGCCAAAATACAGACAGCACATCACATATCCCACCAGAGACAGTAATATATTGGATCACTGTTACACCACAATAAAGAATGCATATCACTTGCTAGCAAACTAAGGTTAAGCAGGTTTTTGCAAATCAAGTCAATTGATGAAGTTAAACCACCACAATTACACTGATTAATGAAGTGTAGCACCACTCCAGTATAAATCAAACCATAGTGACCTGATAGCCATGCACACCACAAGTTAAGGTTTATTCACACTTTTATTGAAGACATCCATCCAAACAGAAATGCATTCAAAACTCTAACACCATTTAAAAAGTTTCAAAGTTACATTTGCACATTAACATCCATGCAGAAGCCAGAGATCATATTCCAAAACGTATACCACCAAAAGGACTTCGGTCTTCTCGCATCTGCAAATAAAGACCAAGATGTAAAAGGTGCATCATATAAATGCATACATTGGATTGGCTGTGCAGTCTTAACCAGTTACGAGATGCACTTTAGTATGGTGTTCCGCACAGCTCAGGGAGAGAGTTTACAATCAGGCCCATTAACCATGGATCAGCTTAGCAACAGTTTCTCATCACTGCAGTGCACACCGGTTCTACTATAAATGTAATTCAATACTCCAACCTTCCTCTGAGGAGTCACTGTTAGTCTTCCATGCACATGGGATTATCAGAGTCATAAAATTTGAAATGTAGAAAATGAAGGGTCTCACCTCTTAGGAGGCCACCACATTTTTGCAGTTGGGAACTTCATTCTTACCATCTGTGAAATCTGATAGAAACAAGCAACATTAGTAACAAGTTTCATACATTAAATGCCACAAAAGTCAGTTCCCACTAACTTATTTACATTTCTGTTGCAGCCATGCTCTCATCTAATTAGACTTTATACTGAAGGGGGCCTTACTCACATTTGTAGATCAGATGGTAATATTCAAAGTATAGAAGCATTAGTATTTTTTTTTTAATGCACTAAGACAAACAATGGGTCAGGATGCAACTAGGCCCTAAACATAGAAGACTAAACGAAATTTCCAAGAGCTTCCTAGGCAAAAAAAAATAAAAAGTAAAACTTTCATAAGCGTGGAGAACCCCATTCACAAAACCCGCATGTATTAAAGCAAAAGAGCCTCAGACTAGATTTTATAATCAGCTGCTGAAACACAGCGTTCATACGAGGTGTCAGAAAAGTGTTAGAAGTCATCAGCGGCTCAGTATTCCTTTCAAAAACGCATTGCATACGCAACTTACAATAAGACCAAGTAGTGTGTTGTCCAGGCTCAATTCACTTACCGCCAACTGAACTCTTCATCGCGTTTACTGCGATTTATAATTGATGCATCGAATACAGACGTTCAACAAGTGGGCTACAAACGCCTATGGCGCAAATCATCCGAAGCCACGTGCTTCAGCACTCCCATCGTGAAGTAGACTGGAGACTCTACAAAAATAAAGACAAGTTCATATGCGGTTCACGTGTAAACCCAACTCTAAGCCCTCCAACGAAAATCTAACCGGAGATTTAGGAGTTTAATGTAATCGCACGCAATAAAGACTTGAACTATTACAGTGCTAATCTAAAACAATATTCATCATTGTATTCTCTAGCGATTGTTGAGGTTCTGATGAAGTACACCGAAGAAGAGCTCACTTACACGCCTGCAATCACAAAGCAACTTTCTGAAGAGGACATGTTGCAACTTCCACCACACAAAAGTTCGCTGAACAAAGAGAGAGAACTAACGTTGTGGCACGGTTTTTATAAGAGTTCTTCTTTGCGACATCCACCAGCGTATCAACGAGGTGTTCAAAGCTCATGCATGCCCTCTGCTGTTTGACTTGAGTCTTTGCATAACAGTCATTCTTCAGACGTGGGACAAAACAGGTCCAGCAAGGGTAACTGCTATTAGCTTTAAAAAAATAAAAATATTTTCAATTTTAAATGTCATGAGGGATTAATAATAGAATGTATTTAACACAATTATCACCTTCAATTATCTGGTCGACGCTACAGAGCTCTGAGCACCAGAACGACCAGACACAGGAACAGTTTCTTCCCTCAGGCCATCCATCTCATGAACACTTGACAATAACTGTGGAACACACACTATTTATTCACTCATACACTTATTTATCTAACACTCATACTCAGTCTACATTTCAATTTGCACATAATATACCTGTACATACAACTGTCTATTGTTATATACCTGTACATACAACTGTCTATTGTTATATACCTGTACATACAATTGTCGATTTGTATATTTTTATTCCTTAGTTACTTGTTCTATTGTTCTATTTTTTATTATCTGTGTTTTTGTTCTGTCACTGTCATTCTGTTACACTGTGGAGCTTCTGTCATGAAAACAAATTCCTCGTATGTGTAAACATACCTGGCAATAAAAACTCATTCTTCTGATTCTGCTGTAGTTCGTGTGTGTGGAGAGTCTGGTCACGGCTATGGTGGACATGTACCCGACTTTCTTCCGACGGAAGAACCGCAGAGAGCTGCTCATCCTCGTCATAGCCATCGTGTCCTTCCTCGTGGGTCTCATCATGCTCACAGAGGTACTGGACCATCTCATCTGACTCTGATTTGATTTATATAATTGCCAGATTTATGAACTGTCTGTCTTTCTGTTTGTTTGTCTGTCTGTCTCTCTGTATGTCTGTCTGTCTCTCTGTCTGTCTGTCTCTCTGACTGTCTGTCTGTCTGTCTCACTGACTGTCTGTCTGTCTGTCACACTGACTGTCTGTCTGTCTGTCTATCTGTCTGTCTGTCTGACTGTTTCTCTGACTGTCTGTGTCTCTGTCTGTCTGTCTGTCTCACTGACTGTCTGTCTGTCTGTCTGACTGTCTCTCTGACTGTCTGTGTCTCTGACTGTCTATCTATCTATCTATTTATCTGTCTCTCTGTTTCTCTGTATGTCTGTCTGTCTCTCTGACTGTCTGTCAATCTGTCTCACTGACTGTCTGTCTGTCTGTCTGACTGTCTCTCTGACTGTCTGTGTCTCTGACTGTCTATCTATCTATCTATTTATCTGTCTCTCTGTTTCTCTGTATGTCTGTCTGTCTCTCTGACTGTCTGTCAATCTGTCTCACTGACTGTCTGTCTGTCTGTCTGACTGTCTGTGTCTCTGTCTGTCTGTCTCACTGTCTGTCTGTCTGTCTGACTGTCTGTCTGTGAGTCTCTCTGACTGTCTGTGGCTCTGTCTGTCTGTCTGTCTCTCTGACTGTCTGTGTCTCTGTATGTCTGTCTGTCTCTCTGACTGTCTGTCAATCTGTCTGTCTGTCTGTCTGACTGTCTCTCTGTCTGTCTGTCTGTCAGGGTGGAATGTATGTCTTCCAGCTGTTTGACTACTATGCAGCCAGTGGGATATGTTTGCTCTTTGTAGCTGTTTTTGAGACCGTCTGCATCGCTTGGATATACGGTGAGGAGGCAAGAAAATGCCTGTTTTAATATACTATTAAAATTAAATTACATACATGATAAAATATCTAAATGCAATTATCTGTTACATTTTTTTTGGGGGGGTAATCTCCTTGCTTTTCTTTGCTGCTTCTCAGGTGCTAATCGGTTTTATGACAATATCGAGGACATGATTGGTTACCGTCCTGGGCCGTATATTAAATACTGCTGGCTCTTTTTCACCCCAGCCACATGTTTTGTGAGTCATTTACCTTCTATACTTTATTTACCTTAAAAAATTTGTACATTTTTTGTAACCTTAAAATAACTATTCCAAACAATTTTTTAAACCTCTTCAGATTGTTTTAATGTGTGTGTGTATATATATATATATATATTAGTTGAGGTATACCTATGATGAAAATTACAGGCCTCTCTCATCTTTTTAAGTGGGAGAACTTGCACAATTGGTGGCTGACTAAATACTTTTTTGCCCCACTGTATATATATATATATAATGAATATTCAGTAATAAATATAATGCAAATTAAAAAAATACCAAAATATAATGCAAATTAATTATTAATAAAAATTTTATTAAATAAATTCATAAAATGAAGTAATTTAGAGTGTTTTAAAGATTGAAATACATTTTTCTAATTATTTTTAAATGCCACAAAAACTTGGAGCAACTTTAAGTAATCTGCATTTGTGAAATTAATTTAAGTACCAAGACAGTGTTCTTGGGCTTCATAGTGACATCTACTGGTGTGGATGCATCACAATGCAACAGTTGCTTTGGTTGCTGATGCATTTGTAGAAATTTTGTTTAATTCAGTTTAGTTTTAAGTTTAGTTTGTGATTTCCTGCACTGCTTGTCGTGACAGGGTACGTTTGCGTTCTCCCTGATCAAATACACTCCTCTGAAGTATAATAACGAGTATGTGTACCCGTGGTGGGGCTACGCTCTCGGCTGGATGCTGGCGCTCTCCTCTATGGTTTGCATCCCGCTGTGGGTTGTTTCTAAACTGAGCACAGCCAAAGGTTCACTGAGAGAGGTGAGTGACACTAACTCAATCTGACGTGACAGGAGAAATAGCGTACTGACATACTGCTCTTACAGTTTCTGCAACATTTAGCCTGTATAATGTGTGCAGTGTGCATACCCTTCTGGCAAAAGTTGCACAAATGTATATTTAAAAACTGTATACACTACCAGTCAAAAGTTTTTGAACAGTAAGATTTTTAATGTTTTTTAAAGAATCATCTTCTGCTCACCAAGCCTGCATTTATTTGATCCGAAATACAGCATTTTGTATTTTGCTGTAAAGATTGCTGATACATAAATACATTCTATTCATCAAAGAAACCTGGAAAAATTCTACTCAGCTGTTTTCAACATAATAATAATAATCAGAAATGTTTCTCGAGCAGCAGATCAGCATATTATACTGATTTCTGAAGATCATGTGACACTGAAGACTGCAGTAATGATGCTGAAAATACAGCTGCACATCACAGAAATATATTACAGTTTAACAGAGATTCACATAGAAAACAGCTGTTTTAAATAGTAAAAATATTTCAAAATTTTACTGCTTTTGCTGTATTTTGGATCAAATAAATGCAGGCTTGGTGAGCAGAAGAGACTTCTTTAAAAACATCACAAATCTTACTGTTCAAAAACGTTTGACTGGTAATGTATATCATAACAATATTTTAAAAGATTACTATTAGTAGTACTATTAATTTATTTTATATTAATTATTGTTATTATTTGGTCAGGCTTGGAAGCCAGTTCCAGCTCCACCAGCAAACCATGCAGTTTTTTTTTATGGAATTCAACAATATATTATTTAAAATTAGTTTAAACAATCAAATCTTAACATTTGGCAGTCTGATCAAATAATGAATCAAGACAGAAATGTTAAAATCGCTGTTAGATATTATACTATATCTGGTATCATTATGCACATCAGAAATTAAAGTCAAGTGCATTGCATTGCATTTTGGAATAAAGTATTCTATATAGTGTGCTATGGTTGTATACTACTGTACATGTTTTGATATGCATTGAGAAAAATTGCAAACTATGCAAAAATATGCATACTGTGAAGGTAGTATGGTACACTCTCAGAAAAAAAAGTACAAAAGGTACACCTTTGTACACTTTAGGTACCAATATGGACTCTTTAGGTACAAAGGTGTGTCTTTTGAAAAGGTGCCGCCCGGTGACAACTTTTGTACCTTTTTTTCTGAGAGTGTGGCATGTTAATCCAAACCTCTCTGCTTTATTCTCCTCAGCGTTTCCACGAGCTCATCACGCCCTCGCCGGACCTGCCCAAAACCAGACGAGAGCAGGAGAAACTTCAGGCCATCTTTGCAGCCGACGGCGACGCTCTTCGCCAGCGAGGCGGCCCGACCAAAGACGGGTACTTCCCTGTCAGCGAGAAGGAGTCGCACTGCTAGACGGAGCACTGCATGTGCTTCTAAAGCTTCCCGTGATACCTCACACAGTACTGGCAGCCAAATAAGCATTACGACAGACAGGCCAGGATCCACAGCCTGGGAGGGCATTTCAAATGCTTGCGCTTATTGGTCAGAAGGCATCGAAAGCCAGACTGTGTCAATATTATAGACAGCAGAATGTTGAAACACAACGTAATCACACTCATATGATATTTGAGAGGAAACGTAGGGTTAGCTAGGGTTACAAAAACATCTAAAATACACTTTTAAGTGTTTATTTTATTACACGCTCTCAGAAAAAAAGGTACAAAAGTGGTCACTGGGGCGGTACCTTTTGCACTTTTGTACCTTTTAGGTGCTAATATGTACACTTTAGGCACTTATATGTACCTTTAAGGTACCAATAAGGGATGTGCATACAACACAAAGGTGTGTCTTTTGAAAAGGTACCGGCACAGCAACAACTTTTGTACCTTTTTTTTCTAAGAGTGCACATCTATAGATTTCAATTAAGCCCATTTTCTCAAAATGAGATTTTTCTCCACTTCAGTAGTACGTACTTACACCAGACTTCGCCGTTTTGTTCCTATCTATACTCTGAAGGTTTTTACAGAGGGGTTTTGCTCGTGTATCACTCACCGTTTATTCTCTGAAAACATGGTGAAAATGTCTGTCTGATCGTACGGTATTTTCTGATTTATGGAGAAATACAAAAAAAAAACCAGATATCCAAAATCCCCTCAGTAAAAACAAAAACCTGGCTTTATCTAATGTTCATATTTATGTTCTGGAAATGTATGCATATTATATAATACCTCATTTGCATGTTTAAACATAACACTTCAGAAAAACTGTAATAC